ATGTATAAGCCATGCCTCCAGCCTCCTAATTTTACTTCATAAACCAATTTCTTATTCTGAGGTAAATATATAAAGGTCTTTCATCCTATTTTTAACCACTTTGTACTTGTAGCTTCATAAGAGTTTGATTTGATGTATTGTGTGCTCAGGTAGGCACAGATATCTCAAAAAAGGAAACCTGTGCTTTATTGCAATGATTTTCAAAAACTTGCTGTGTGTATGGATCTCTTGGAGAGCTTATCAAGTCCAAACCAAAATCCACTTAGGTCTCAGTGAGATCTATGCTTAGAATAAGCTCCTGCATGATGCCATTGTCTTATGTGATGCTCTGTAGCCTACACATTGGAAAGTGGGTACTTTAAAAAGTCTGGAGGTTAGGCTGCTATTGTACTCCACATCTCTGCACCCATAATAAAATTAATAAAACTTCATATTTTAAGGTTATTCATAAACTATTAGTATCTATCCCTCTCCATAAAGAACATCTTGATTTCCTAACCTATTTTAGTCTATGAACACTGAAAATTATATCAGGCAAGTGCTGTGGGATGGGACTTTCTATATGCTGTGAATATGTGTTGCTACCATTGATTAACAAAGAAGCTGCCTGGATCAACAACAGAGAGGGAGAACAAGGAATAGGAGACCATGGTAAATGAAGACCACATGAGAATAAGAAGAAGCAAAGTGCTAGAGAGGCCCACAGAAATCCACAAAGATACCCCCACAACAGACTGCTGGCAATGGTCGTGATACAGCCCGAACTGACCTACTCTGGTGATGGGATGGCCAAACACCCTAATTGTCGTGCTAGAAACCTCATCCAACTACTGAGGGATCTGGATGCAGAGATCCATGGCTAGGCCCCGGGTGGATCTCTGGGAGTCCAGTTAGCGAGAATGAGGAGGGTTTATATGAGCGAGAATTGTTGAGACCAAGGCTGGATAAAGCACAGGGACAAATAGCCAAACGGATGGAAACACATGAACTATGAACCAATGGCTGAGGGGTCACCAACTGGATCAGGCCCTCTGAATGGGTGAGACAGTTGATTGGCTTGATCTGTTTGGGAGGCATCCAGGCAGTGGGACCAGGTCCTGTGCTCATTGCATGAGTTGGCTGTTTGAAACCTGGGGCCTATGAAGGATTGCTTGGCTTGGCCTGGGAGGAGGGGTCTGGAACTACCTGACTGAGTCTACCAGGTTGATCTCAGTCCGCGGGGAAGGCTTTGCCCTGGAGGAGGTGGGAATGGGGGGTGGGCTGGGGGGAAGGTGAGGGGGTCGGGGGTCGGGACGGGGGAGAACAAGGGAATCCATGGCTGATATGTAGAACTGAATTGTATTGCAAAATAAAAAAATAAAAAATAAAAAAAATAAAGAAGCTGCCTTGGCCTATGGCAAGACAGGTTATAGCCAGGTGGAAAATCCAAGCAAGGATACAGGAAGAAGAAAGGCAGAGTCAGGGCAAACACCAGCCCATTGCCAAGGAACAAGATGCCAGCAGACTGGTAATGCCACAGCCATGTGGCAAAATATAGATGAAGACAAATGGGTTAATTTAAGATGCCAGAGTTAGCTAGCAATAAGCCTGAGCCATAGATCAAACAGTTTGTAATTAATATTAAGCCTCCCAGTGATTATTTTAAAAGCGACTGCAGGACCGGAGCAGGACAGAGAAAAGTGTCCGGCTACAAACAAGACGTCTTGGTGTAGTTGTTTTGAGGCAGTTTCCCTCTGCAGCCTGGGCTGGCTTTGCTCTCTCAGCAATCTTCCTGATTTGCCTTTTTTGAGTACTGAGATTATAGATGGGAGTTGCCATGAGTGGCTATGGGTTTTTCTTCCCCCATCATCCCCCCTATGTTGTAAGTTTGGACCACACATTTCTTGATGCTGAGAAATTAGCATGGTGATAGCATAACTGTCCTGGGAATTAAGCCCTATAGAAGAAAAAAAAATGAATTCCAGAACTGAGAAACCAGAACCCATGGGTCAGCTTACTGCAATGTAGTAGAAAACATCCATCAAAAAAAAAAAATGTAGTATATCTTGGCTCCCATTTTCTCATCTTTGAAATGAAGTCATTAAGCGAGATCTTCCGTAGGCCTCTTTTATTTCTAATATACTTAGTCCATCTCTGTACTGTGGGTATTGCGTGATCTTACCAACTATGACATGAATAAAACTAAATGAGAAATAAACACTGGGAGGCTTATGTTGCAATAGTGTGCTCAGCATTAAATAATTTAAATCCAAAACACTAAAGGTTACTGATTTGCACTTCCAGGCTGGGGGCATGCTCAGCTGCTCATGTCATAAAGCACTCTCAAACACATTTTCTTTCCATCATGAAGGACTCACATTCACGAGGATCCCATCTGTGTCTGCAGCACTCAGCCTGCAGTTGGTAGGAATACAAGAGTCAAATGGCAGATTCCGTTTTGCCTCTGGGTTTTCACAGGATTAAATGTTATTTTCGGTGCCACTGCCCTGCTTTCTAGGGCTGACATTCCTTTCCCCCATATCACCAGAGTTCCTGTGCCACCATGCTGTCACTCTTGCCATATTGTTGTCTCGCTCTCCAAAGTCCCCTGCTTCAAAATCCCATTAAGACCTGGCCTCCTCCACAGTACCCTTATGCTCCAAAATTACCAGTCATTCTTCCTCTTCCTATCTTTATCCAAATTCCATTTCCTTAGTGCTTTCTGTAAAGCTTAAAATGTATACTCTCAGTTATTCCTCAGTAGAACAATGGAGATAATCCTTACTTAGAATTCTTGATTTAGTCTCCCAACTGCTGGTCTTACAAGTGTGAGTCACACAAACAGACAAACATGGCATGTACTCACTCATAGGTGGATACTAAATGTAAAGCAAAGGATAATCAGACTATAATCCACAGCTCCAGAGAAGCTAGGAAACAAGCATTACCCTAAGAGGGATGAATGGATCATCTTGGGAAGGGAAAACAGAGGAGATCTCTATGAGTAAACTGTGGATAGGGGGCAATAGAGGAGAGGGGATGGGAGGTAAGAACATGAGGTAACAGAATGGTCAAGCTGGGGGAGGGATGGAATGAGAGAGCAATGAAAGATATCTTGATAGAGGGAGACATTATGGGGTAAGGGAGCAACATGGTACTAGGGAAATTCCTAGGAATCTACAAGGACAACCGCAGATTAGATGACTAGCAATAGTGGAGAGGATGCCTGAACTGGCCTACGCTGGTATTCAGATTAGTAAATAACCTGTCATCACAGAGCCTTTCTCCAGTAACTGATGGAAGCAGCTGCAGTCATCCACAGCCAAGCACCAGGCTGAGTTCTGGGAGTCCAGTAGAAGAGAGGGAAGAGGGATTATATGAGCAGGGGTGAGGGGGAGTCAAGATCATAATAGGGAAATCTACAGAGACAACTGAACCAAACTCATGAACTTTAGACAGACAGTTGTGGAACCTACATGGCACTGGACTAGGCCCTCTGCATACAGAAAACAGTTGTGTAGCTGGGTCTGTTGGGATCAGGATCTATCCCTGGTGCATGAACTGGCTTTCTGAAGCCAATTATCTATGGTGGGATGCCTTGATCACCCTTGATGCCGGGGGCAAGGGGCAGGTAGCTTGGTCCTGCCTCAATTTAATGTACCAGTTTTTGCTGTGCCCCCCATGGGAGAACTTATCCTTTTAGAGGAGGGGATGAGGGGTGGGTCAGGGGGTTAGATGAGGGGTAAGGGGAGCAGGAGGAGGGATGAGAGGGGGATCTGTGGTTGGTATGCAAAGTGAATTTAAAAAATTTAATAAAAAAATAAGTGTGAGTCACCATGCCTGATATGTACAATTCTTGATGCATTAATATAGTAAATGTTTTTTTCTTCTGAACCCTCCATTCTACCATGAGGAAGTGCCTTTGAACCTAATCATATGGATGTTTTCTTTGCCTTATTGCAAATGTCTAACCAAGTCTAGGATTCAAGCTTCCAAAACATTGTTAGGGGAACATGAAAATCAGAATCCCATTCAGCTTGGAGAAATATGTATGAGGAAAGAGAACATTGAACTGAAAGAAATTAGTTAAGGTTCACAAGGTCATTGAGTTAGTAAAGACTTAGTGATTCATTCATTAATCAAACATTTGCTGTATCTTTACACATGCTAAATACTAGACTAAGGTTTATGAAATTTAAAAGCAAAATGTGAACAAAATTAACCTTCAAAATCTGTAAGTAGAGAGATATTCCTGTTTTGATAAGACAAGGTGGCAGCTTAATAAAAAAGATGGACTTGGGAAACAGATTAGTTGAACTTGGCCACTGTCCCTTCTACTTACAAGCTTCGTGAGCCACAGCAAGTTACCTTATCACACTGAGAGCCATTTTCCACAACTTAAAGATCCCAAATACATTCCTACTCTGAAGATTGTTTGTGGAAAACACATATCAAGAATCTATCCTGGTACCAATGTGCCTTCCACAACAAGCATGACATACCTGGAGACTATTACCATTTTCTATTATAATAATGCAGATAAATTGAGGTCATATTATATGTACACACAAAAAGATCTTCAAAACGCAAAGTGGCTTAGAAGGTATGGAATCTGGTATGCTGATCACATTCCAGAAAATGGACCCATGGGTAGATAGACAGCAAAAATTGGACTTGTTGGGTTATTCATGCAAAGGGAGGGACATAAAAAGTCAGGGAGAAGGAAGGGGGTAAGGATGGGTCTTGGGGATGTTAGGGGAATAGGAGGGGAAATGTGATTAAAATGCATAAAAAGTATGAAAATCTCAAAGATTTTATAAAAATATTTTATTTTCTAAAATAGCACTAAAGGACATGAATAAATGTGATGAACAAATGATCAGAGGATTTTAGTAATTGCTGGACAGAGCGTGGAGAGCTAGGAAACTGCTTAATGGGTCTGTGCCACAAAAACACAGGACTAGCAAATTAACTGCTAAGGCAGAAAGTAGACACAGAAGGATGCTAGAGCCATAGCAACACCACATGGCTGATTGCCTGGGAAGAGCCTAAGCTGTACCTGCCATACAATTTAATAACTAATAGTGAAATTACTCATTCTTAAGCATAAATGATAAAGCATATGCTTTGTTATTCTTTGTGAGGTAGATTTTATTAGTCACCCAATCAAACCGGAACTCACATAAAAACCCTTCTGATAGCTGTAATGGACTAGAAATGTTATTCTAGATTCAGGTTGCTCAGGAACCCACAGTCATAGATCTCTTCTGAGTTTCCATCCTGGAAAGATCACTTTTGCAAAACTTAGGTTTGTTTTCCATTCCTAATATAGGGGTTATCAGGGAAGTGATACATTTAGCTGCAAAAGAACATTCTGACAACTCTTCCATATCTAAATAAACAGTTGTCTACCACCATCCCAGTTCAAGATGAAAAACATATCCCTGAATTTGAACTTGTTGCTGCAGCTGTTCCATAACTAACCTCCCACAAATGACTGAAAATGCTAATATTCATCCTTTTGTGAATAACGCACACTATCACAAGATGGTGTGGCAGTGGCATATTCCCTAAAGCTCTGTTATTAAGTGCTATGACAGACTACTGAAATCCAAAGGATCAGAATACTGCTTCTGATTTTTTTATACAAGGTAACTCATCTGTGATGTTTAGGAAATGGACTGCAGAAGATAAGAATGGATTGCTTGTGAGAAGTGAGTGAAAGGGAAAAGTCAAGGATGATTCTTAAAGTTCTTGTCTTGAGTGAGTGGATTTTGATTTCATGAAATTAATTAGGGAGCATAATCAGAGAAATTGCTTAAAGTGTTGGACAGGAGGTAATGAGTTCAGTAAATAATTGTTGATGTGAATAGATGGATTAATGAATCTAACAATCACATATAGCATCACTGAAATGAAAAGATGATGGAGAAGTTCGTTTAAAATGGAGCCAGTTCAACCAATTATTTCAAGGTTATCTAATAAATTTGAAGCACAAATGACTTGTCTATCTTCTGTTAGGTGGTAATGAACAGAATAAATGTGAAAGGCAGACATTACAGGTATATGTCATCCTAAAACTGTCTAAAACATGGTCATGGTGCATATGTAAAACATGTACAAGATTCTATTTAATGCATCTATAATTGTGATTTTGGTCAATTAAAATGTAATCATTTTTGTTTGAATGTACTACATGATGCTTTGTTAGGAAAGCATCTCTCCTGCTCCATCCCCTTGGTCTTTGGGGCACATTTGTTCACAGTTTGCTTCACTCTTTGCCTACTATGAAAGTCTTGTCTAAAATGATTGCAAGTCTTTCCACCTTTAATTAGATTTTTACTATATTCCCAAAGATAAATGGATCCCTAGTTGAGATGGTAATTTTTGAAGTTACTTTTAAAATATCGCTAAATTTTCATTTCCCTGGATATCTTTCCTCGGCCAATGATAACATTCTTGCTGACATACTCATATCGCCTCTTTCTATCCCAAAGGTGATGAGGAGATCTGACAGATAGAGACACATCAGCAGCCATGCCAACTGGCTGCCAGCTTGGACATATGTACAGAGCAGAGAGCATACCAAAGTTCCCTACGCAGAGAGCCAAGAGCCCACTGACATTCGCCAATGACTGAAGAACATGTCAATATCGCTACAGCATAGTCAAGTGTGGAGTGAGCCATGTTAAAGGTTCTGGAGAGGAGAAGATGACCACCTGGGTAGGGCACCACTCTGCTATATATATGTGCCTCATTTGGCATCCACTTTGCATGTCTGCTGCTGGGCTTCCATCTGTCGACTCTCAGCATAATGTCAGAGATAAAAACTGAAGACTCCATGGCTTCCAATGCATTTTTCTGCTGGCTGCCTGATGGCTGTCTGGGGACATAAAATTTAGAAAGCAATCCTTGCTGACTGACCCTCATACGGGTCTGTACATTTTAATTTTAACTCTGCAGAATGTCTATTTCATCTAATCAACATACAAATGCAAGAAAAGCCTTGCAAATTTACAGGTACAATCTTAGAAGGACACAGTCCATGACGTATCAGAGTTAAATTGCATATAAGTTTGTGCTAAACTTTAAATTGTCTCTTTTATCTAACATGCACGTAGAAAACATAGTACTAATTGAAATGCAACTTAACATTACTATACATTCAATTATTACTGCACCATCATATCTAAATATTCCCAGGATAAATAGGAATAGATGAATTTGCTTAGAAATTGTTTTCAGACAAGATTGGACACGTTCAGGGTGGTATCATAGAACCCTCATCCAGTGACTGAAGGAAGCAGATGCAGAAATCCACGGCTGGGTCCCAGGCAGAGTTCCAGGAGTCCAATCGATGAGAGAGAGGAGGGATTCTATGAGCAAAAGATATTGAGACCATAATTGGAAAAAGTACAGAGACAACTAGTCAAACTAGTGGAAACACATGAACTGTGGACCAATAGCCGAGGAGCCCCCATGGCACTGGACTAGGCCCTCTGGATAAGTGAGACAGTTGTTTAGCTTGAACTGTTTAGGGGGTCCCCAGGCAGTGGGATTGGGACCTGTCCCTAGTGCATGAGCTGACTTTTTGGAGCCTAATGCAGATGGTGAGACACTTTGCACAGACTTGGTGCAGGGAGGAGGGGCTTAGACCTGCCTCAACTGAATGTAAAAATCTATCAACAATTCTAGTTATTTATATTTTTCCTCCTTTTGTGTCTCATAGTTTAAAATAACCATAGCAGTCTTCTTCCTTCTTAGGTAGTCACAGACATTTTAAGTTGATTTCAGGACTATTCCATGATTGTTTAAACATACCCCTTTGGTTTAATGAGGGGGGATAAGTTCAAGAATAACTTGAGAAAATTGAAAAGCCAAAGAGTCTCTTTGACTAGCAGGAGATAATCCCTGCCCCACCATGGTATCTCAGCTAGTTTTGTGGGAATTAACCTTTCCAAGATAAATAGAAGTTCGTGATCTAGCTTTTGAACTTGATTATAACAGGCTTGGCGACAAAGTAATACTAAGAGGGTCTATTTATCCAAGTAACTAATCTGTTCAGTGTGTATGTTTGTGTGTGTGTGTGTGCGTGTGTGTGAATGCTAATGATAGTGTATTTGGGTTATTATTACATGCATTTGAAATGCTATTATCAACTCCCTCCCCAGGAACAAGTAGTGACTTAGGTCCATATATGATTATTTCTGTTTAAGTGTAGGTGAAACCCGTGAATGTCCATAACTGATATGTAATGGTGTGTTACTAGCATTCTAACCTTACATTATTAAGTAACACTATCTTAGATATTGTCCTGAACTAACAGCCATATTGTCTACACATTAAGAAGCAGAACTAAAAAGAATAACCATTCTATAATCCACAGACCCAGGGAGGCTAGGTAACAAGAAGGGCCCAAGGAGGGACACATGGATCTCCTGAGAAGAGGAAAAGAAGAGATTTTCTGGGTGGACTGAGGGAGGTTGGAGATGGGAACTTGAGGGATCATGTTGCCTGGTGGATGGAGGGGAGAGTATTGAAAGAGATGACTAGAACAGAGGGGTGGGCATTTCAGAGTCAAGTAGAAACGGAATGCAAGGGTAACTCCCAGGAATCTACAAAGATGACCCAACTAAGACTCCTAGCAATAATGGACATGTAGCCTGAACTCGCCATCTCCTGTGATCAGATTGGTAACTACCTGAGTTGTCAGTAGACAGCCTTTATCTGGTAATTGATGGAAACAGATACAGAGTCCAACAGCCAAACATTAGGCTGAGCTAGTGAAGCCTGCTAAAAACAGGGAGGAAGAGGAGCCAGAAAGGTCAAGGACACCACAAGAAAACCCTACAGAGGGCTGGAGAGATGGCTCAGAGGTTAAGAGTACTGGCTGCTCTTCCAAAGGTCCTGAGTTCAATTCCCAGCAACCACATGGTAGCTCACAACCATCTGTAATGAGACCTGGTGCCCTCTTCTGGCCTTCAGTCAACACTTTGGGTGGCTCTTGGCAACCCAGTCCCCATAATGGATTGCCTTGTCCAGCCTTAATACAAGGAGAGGTGTTTAGTCTTACTACAACTTGATATGCCATGCTTTATCGATACCCATGGGAAACCTGCATCTGTCTGAACAGAAACAGGAGTGGATGGGGGTGAACAGAGTGGTGGGGAAGGAATGGGAGGAGAGAAGGGAGGAGGAACTGCAATCAGGATGTAAAATAATTTTTTTTTTTTTTTTTTGGTTTTTCAAGACAGGGTTTCTCTGTGTAGCTTTGCGCCCTTCCTGGAACTCACTTGGTAGTCCAGGCTGGCCTCGAACTCACAGAGATCCACCTGCCTCTGCCTCCCGAGTGCTGGGATTAAAGGCGTGCGCCACCACCGCCTGGCTAATTTTAAGAAGCAGTATTAAACACAAAGCTGAGAAAAGAGCCCAGTCATCTAGGGTAAAGGACAAAGGTGTAGGGGAACTTCCATCATATAATTAGAAGGAAACAAATTTTGTCAGTGACCTGCCCTGAATGAGCTTCAAAGTTGATTTGTCCCCTCGTCGAGCCTTTGTTTTCAGGCTTCTGGGAAGTGAGCAGAAAATCGGCTAACCTGTACCTGGCCACTTAATCTGCAGAACTGTGAAATAATAAATGGACACCATTTGAAGCTGTTAAATTGTGACATTTTATTTCACAGCAATAGTCCCCTAATACAAGTTCATATTCAATTCCTCAGAATGTGAATACTAATGAATACTACGGCATTGTGTTATTTTTTCCTAGAAAGCACTGCGGACTGCTGTCTTAAAATACAGAATGTTATATATATACTTCAGCGCTCAGAAGGCTGTGGCAAGGGGTGATTCCTTTTAAGAACTCTGAGGGAGAATCTATTCTAGGTATGGCTTGGAGGGTCTGTGATTTGCTGACAATCTTTGTCATTTCTATAGATGTATCATTTCCATTTCTGCCTGCAGATTTACAGTGTCCATGTGTTCCAGAAATACATTAGGCATAATGTTCCAGTTCAATTATATTTTCATTAACAATCAGATTTGTGTCTATCTTATGTTTCTTCATTTGATTTTCTATGAATTACAACCTTATAATATTATACACTAAATAAATGGTTTTTAATGAACATGATTCCTTTTATTACTGCAATAGCTTAATCTGGAAATGCAATCATTGTAAATCACTCTGATTGAAGATCAGCATTGATATTACAATAAAAGGTGACATAACAATATCATAGACTTAAATGCATGAATTTTATATTTCCCAAGAATCATGTAACTTTCCTGTCCTTTTGTGTTATGATTAATAATATCATTATTTGAACATGCTTCATGACAATTTAGGACTAGTAACAGTCTTACAAAAAAGAAAATCTATGCTAGGGCTCTTGACTTACACTGTTCACTGGCATTTAATACCACACAATTTACATGTCTAGATTAAGTGGCCTGGAATTCAAGTATGTAAGAGAAAAATAGGATGATGTAACCTACTGCAATCATATTGTGCCAATATTCAGGCACGGCACAGAAGAAATACACAACAGGTTTTGAAATCAATTGAATTAATCACAGTCTAATCTTAGAAAGAAAGAGAAAGATTGCTACTCATCAGGTCATGCCATGATGATGAAAAAATAGATCTGATCATTTGATTACTGGGCTAGAGATACAGAATTGTGGAAATGCTTCCAGCGTAACTAACCTCTTACAATATATGTGTGGGCATTCCTACAGCTTGGGAAGGTGAATTGAATATCTCTCACAATTCACACCCTATTTCATGGTGAAAGTCCCAAACCCAGGCAAAACCATTCTAATGGGAGATCTGGCAACGTTTGATGATACACAGAAAACAATAAAGACAAAGAAGCTAGTCATGTGAACTTGGAAAATGGCACATTATTGCAGTAGCTCTTGAAGAGTAAGTCAAGAACCTATTAAAAGACACATTTTTGAAAAAGCATATAAATAATGATATATTGAAAGGTAATACGGTAAAGAATCTCCTTAGAAAATGGAAGAATCTAAAACTCCACATCTAACATTCCCCCATGTGATTTGGGGCATTGCTGAGTCTCTTTTCTTTAGTTCCTTATTTATTAAATGAGATGTTAGCACCTATTTCATATGATTTATCTGAAAATACATATATGAATTATTTATTGGAACACTTTTTGTTTAGAAGCTATTAATTGTCCACTGAGTTTTCTACAGCCACACAGTTGTCCTCACTATTAAAAACATCTTCGTTTAGAAATAGTGTCTTATAATAGATGCTGTCTTATAAATGATAACAAATCAAGTTTCATATTATTTTCTGTTCTAAATGTGTGATATAAAACAAGACACCACTAAGGAAATATTGGTAGTCTACAAAGACATAAATAATATACAAATTCTGACTATGTAGTAGGGGCACACAATAGCATGAATCATGACAAGTACATGTGTATACATAATAAGTAAAGCTGGTGCCACAACTTTTAAAGGAATTTTTTGATACTTAGTATGTGTATGTGAGCATTTGTCTGTGCATCACATACATGTCTGGTGCCCACACAGGCCAGAAGAAGTGTTAGATTACTTGGAATTAGATTTACAGGCAGTTGTAAGCCACCATATGGGTGCTGGTAATTGAACTTGGGACCCCTGAAAGAACAGCCAGTGTTTTTAATCACTGAGCCATCTCTCCAGTCCCCAGTACCATAACTTTTTGGGTCATTTTACATTTCCTTGGTTCCAGTCATTAGAAAAACCATCTATTCAAAGAAATATATTTTAAATGCCAAATTTGAATGTTTTTGGTGCCCACTCTCTTTGAGCCAGGATAAACAAATGAAATGGCTGGAAATAAAGATTATTATTTATAAAAAAAAATAACCCATTAATTTGAAAATGGGTGTTTGTGTGTATATTTTGTGTTTTCTGTTATTTTTGTTATTGGTTTTGCATTCTCGGATGTTTCTTCTATGCAAAGGTGTAAACACACACTACAGATTGAAATTTATTCTCTCAAAGTTAATACTTTCTAATTGCTCTGCTCCAATTTTGTCAATATATTTTATGACTTGTTTTGTTATTAAGATTACTGATTAGTCAACATGATGCTGCAATATCTAAACATTACTGATTTTTCCACTTTTGTTTTTCAGTGAAAGTACAATCTAGGTCAGGTTTGCCCTGAGCTTCTTCTATAGATGCTGTGTCTCTCACAGACTTAAATCTTAGCTCGTAAACATAAACTTTTAGGAAATCTATGGTCATTTCAAAATAGAGGTCTATTTTAATCCTTATAGAAGAAGGTCTCAGGACACAATATGTGATCCATAAAATTAAAGTGATTATTTCATTGGTTACATGACTTTAATTCAATAACACTTTAGAATCTTCTTCCAAGGGCCAGTTGCTGTGACACTATACAGAGAAGTTCTGATGAGTAGATATAGATATGGGGGCATAGGTATCATCAACAGTTTTATTCTGCTTTTTCCATTATCATAATTCTTTGTTTTCTCTGTGCTTTAATAATACTGTATATATTTGCATGTATGAAATAAAGACAATTTATAAAACATATCTTTTTATTTTTATAAGTTCTCTTTCAATGCCTTCCATTCTACTTCTTAATTTGAATCTTATTAATAATTGTCTTTCTATGTTTTGTCTTATTTCCTAAATTTTGGTATTTATTTTATACTATATTTCTGTGTAATTTAAATATGTATATGTGACTATCAAAATAATAATCCTGATTGCTGAGTTTTTATTTCAAACATAAATACTATCTAAACAGTTACTTCAGAGAAACAAACTTTCACTTCAAATAGATGAATTTACATATCATAAAGTGATGCCATTCCAACCCTCATTTCTTTGGAAAGCTTACTCACGGCTAGACTGAACACCTGTTGCAAGGTAAGATGTTTCTATTTCAAACACTTAATTTTTGTGACCTTTTATGTGTAGCTGTGAAATTATCAGTTGAGTATATGGCTACCAGCTGTAGTAAACACAAGCAATACTATAACAATATATGCAAATGCTCAAGCTTGCAGAAATGAGAGGTTGACAATGAGGGAACAGTGAACATGAATAGCTGAGCAAAGAAACTAAAATAGAAAGAATTATGGTGTTATCCTTCCTTCTGTGTTACACAAAACTGCACAATATACTGACTTAGATCTCTCTGTTAGGAGCCATCAGAGCACTGCTGTATTTTTCCTGCAGCATATGCACAATGTGATACAATCAGCCCTTATAGTCTCAGAAACAATAGCCACAGAGTTCCCATGTTGTGCTTTGTGTTGTCGATGAGCTATTTTTATTTGTACCTAGAAATTTTAAAAGTTCCATCTCTTTTTATATTTTATACTGAGAAAAGAGAGAAAACAGAAAGAGTTATTAGCAAATATCAGATTAATTTGCTCCTTCCTTTTGTTTTCTATACAAGGCTCTTGCAATGCAGGCCACACTATCCCCAAGCTCACTGTAGCCAGTGCTAGCTCTGAACTCACAGTGATTCTCCTGCCTCACACTTTCAAGTGCTGGGATTGCAAGTATGTATCCCCACATCCAGCAAATAGCTTATTTTTGTTTGTTTGTTTGTTTAACCAAAAAGTGATTGATGTATTTTTCAATAACTTTTCATAGTGTCATTTAAATTCAGTCACAATCTCTCTGATGTCACAAATGGATTTATCCAATTGAAAGTATTATGAATATTATCAACAATATGTTTTGTTTGCCAGGAATATTGGAGTTTTTCATGTTTTCAGTTTGAAAATAAGAAACTCAAATTTTAAGGAAATATGTTTTTAAAAAACAATACCAGCATGTTTATGAAAACCATAAACGTAAGTACTCTATCTTAAATTATTTTTTAAACAAGAAGATAAACCTACATAAGAAAAAGCACAAAGATTTCGGAAGCCCACCAAAATGCAATGTGTGACCTCCCCCTACTGGCTCACCAGAATAATAAAAATAAGGAAAAAAAAAAAACCAGAGAGAAGTTTTTAAACTTCAAAACTAAACTGAAATCCTATTAATTTAGCAAATCTAGGAAAGATCTCTCGCCAAAGTTACAAAATATGGACCAATAGCAGTGACATCAGCGTATGTAGCGAATCCAGAGAACTGTTGACCCTCACACAGAATTAGATCTCACATTCATACCTAACTAGATCCCAGACCACACTAAACGGAGGCCATATAGAGCACTTGTGCAGGCATAGGTCACATATACACACAAAGAAATGTTTAACCCCTCACTCATTTTCTACAGATATATTGTGGTCTTGCTTTCATCTCCCCATGTTCTCCAGTCCTCCTTCTCTAGTATATGGACACATGCACTAGCTTCCAATTCCTTTCTTCTGTCTACTCTGTGTTAGCCCTCATAGCTGAGCATGTAGCTAGAACCTCATGCGCAAGGGTGTCATTGCTGCTGATCAACTAGTTGAGTACTAAATTATATATTTTAGATCACTTAATTATTGTTGCATCTTATTAAAATTAAAAATAACTCAATCTGATGAACAAGAAATAATAGATGCATATTTTATATAACTTTGAATAAAATTTACATGTTAATCAACTAATTGCTAAATGCCAAGAAATAACTTTTCTGTTGCGCCCTCCCCCTCTACTTTGGGTGTGAACTGAAGTTGACCCAAATTATAGGTTTTTACATATAAGAAACAACAATTTGAATGCAAGTTATTTTAGCCTAATTCTTCCAGAAATTTCTACAGATGAATTGATCCTTTCTTGGAAGGAAATTGTACCCATGCAACAAGCTAGTGCATACATTTGATGACTGAATCAAAGAGTCTAAAAATCAAGAAATAAAGTTAGTTAATTATTGAGTCTGTATATTAACAGTAAAAAACCCAAGTACCTTTCATCCTGTAACTTTTATTCTATTAAACGGATAAATAATGAGCTAGTTAGCCATTTAATAACTGAATTGTCCCTGTTTAAGAAGGAATTCTGTAGCAAGCCAACTATACAACAAAATTATACCTGATAATTGCTGCTTCAGGTTGAATTATGTCTCCTAAAAGACATGTTAAAGCAAGGTATGGTGGTGCATGACTTGAGAGATTGAAGCGTGAAAATTGCTAGTTTGGGGTTAGCCTCAGGATAGCAAATTCAGGGACAGCATGGGCCACATAGCAAGACTGTCATATCACTTGGAGTAAAAGGCAGGAGGGTATTAAAGCCAGTTTGAACTGCACAGCACCCCTCTATGAAAGAAAAAGAGAAGACGCGTATAAGTCACAGTGAAGTAATAGATCTTGGTACAGGTAAATGTTCCTTTATTTGTGAATAGGCTATCTGCTAATGTTACTAGGTAAAATAAATCCATAAACTGGACCCTTACCTAGTCAGAACTGGCATCTTAGGAGAAGAGAAGAAAGACACAGTTCACAAATGAAGCTGTATGAGGGGATTTCTGAGAGCTTGCAAGAAAACTTCAAGCAAACAAGAGCAGAGTCTTGTAATCACTGTTCCTCCATAACATGTGCTGTTCTTGGAGTGGGCTTCCGTGCCCCTCACAGGTGTAGCAGACAGGAGTGAGTTTACTTCAGCTGTTGTTATTCATGTGCCTCTATGGAAAAAAAACATGTTTTTTGCTACATGCAGCTTGTCCTTGTGATTATATACAGCTTGAACTCATGAGAACTTTACTCATGTGACCTTTCTTAACCCTCAGGGTATAAATTGCCTGATACCCCGAATAAAGGCTTTATTTAGTCTGCCTCATTTTTAGGATCCACTCTCCTAGGTTCATGCCACCAACTAGTACAGTGAACAAGACCCAAGGACAAGAGAGCACAGCAGAGGAAAATGGGAACAGCCTCGTGTGACTGAGAACTGGGCCAACCAAGAACTGCTGGCAACCACCAAGTTATCAGAGAGGTTCTTCCAAAGAGCCTCCAGTAGGAACCGACCTAGTCAAAACTTTGTTTTCCTGTGTAGCTTCAGGAATGGGGTAAAATACATGTCTGCTATTTTAGCCACACAATTTGTGGTATTTTGTTACATTACCAGGAAATGAGTTATTAAACATAATATACGTCATAGATCTACTAGAGGCCAAGCACTAAATGAGTCTTCAAACCTATGGAAGATATAACTTTGGCGTTTTCTGTTTTTTTTTTTTTCTTTTTTTATTTTTTCTTTTATTTTTGGCTTTTTGAGAGAAGGTTTCTCTGTGTAGCTTTGATGCCTGTTCTAGATCTCACTTTGTAGATCAGGCTGGCCATGAACTCACAGAGATCTGCCTGCCTCTGCCTCTGGAGTGCTGGGATCAAAGGCATGTGCCACCGCTGCTCAGCTGACTTTGGTGTTTTCATTATGGACTCCTTACCTGGAGGTCAACACATAAGTGAACCAAGCAATGAAATTACTTTCAATGGATTCTATAGAAACATGACGGCAGAGCCTTTGTTGGATTTTGCGAAAGCAGTGCAACCTCCCAGAGAACTTGTTAGGTCCATTAAGATCCTGAAAAAAAAAAAAAAAAAAAAAAGTTCATGGTAAACTAAAGAATGGGGTTTACAATCCAAAATGTAAAAGTTGGATAGGGATGAAGACATACCAACATAATAAAATCATTCTAAACTGAGACAACAACCCGTTGAAGGTTCAATAGCAAGAGAAAAGTAAAGGAAGTTCATTAAATTTCTAGAACCCCAAATCCACTGGTTCACTGCAAAGGTCGTGTATGGTATCGGTAGCAAAACTCAACTAAGAGGCCAGCAAAATCCAATTTACATAATTTGAGAGACTCAGCCCCCCCAATAACTAGCTGTGATCTTGCCTATAGAATACACTAGAATGACATATTCATCAAGTGGCAGAGCTTCCTCGCTTTGAGGGATTTTCTGAAAAATTGGAACTCTCATTGCACAGTTACTTAATCCAATATTCTGTAACAACTTTTTGGTTATTTCCAAAGTCTTTTCAAAAGTGCTTTTAAATTATTTCCAACTTTGAAATTTCACAAACATCCAAGGCACTTGGCCTATATTATAAACAAATGTTCTAAAAGAGACTTGTACAATCAGCAAAAATAATTTTTTTTCCTGTGGTGTAAAATTCAAGAAAGCATCTGAAATCAATGTAGCTGATAAAGGAGATCAGATGAAGAACTACATGAACGTCAGAGGTTATAGCCATAGAGTGTTCAAGACATAGCCATTACTATGGTAACCTAATTTTTTTATTAATTAGTAAATAGTCTTACAAATCTTCAGTTATCTTTTGTAAATTAAGGTTAGCCAGAATAAAATTAAACTATAAAGCTCTTTTTAAAAACAAATTCAAAAGAAAAAATTAGTGGCCAGTGCTCTTCAGAAGATATGCATAGGAACTTAGAAAAAAAAAAGGGGTTTAGTTGCTTCACTTAGAGGTCTGATTTAGAATGCATATTGAAGTTTCACAGTAACCCATTGCTGGCAGTCATGCAAGTGCATAAATTGAGACTATCTTGCTTTGTACCATCCGATCATAAACCTACCCATGTTATTTGTTCATTTATTCGTTTTGTAAACTTTGCTCATTGACAGTTTCATACATCTGTGTATAGTGCACTTTTATTACTTCCCCCTCCTTTTGTTTCTCCTTTCCCTACCAACATTTTCCCACTCGTTCCTTTCCTAGATTGAAGAATTTTAATTTGGTGTTGTGACCCATTTAGTTTAATCAGAATTTGATATGACCATTCGATTGGGACTAGCTATTGTGTCCTGATGGGGCTCTTAACAGAAAGTTTGGGGGGAATAGCCAGAAATACCGTATAATATATCGTATAATACCATATAAGGATATCAAGCCTTGGTTTCCTAGGTTGTTAGTCTCCTTAAGAAAATAATTTTAGAACAGACTCAAATAGAAGATTGAGGACAATTTTTTTAAGAGATTTAAAGAAAACTCCCAGGGCAGGTAAGCTGTAGTGCTCCCTGATAAAACAAGATGAAGAAGAGGAAAAGAGGAAACCAAGGCAGCATGGGCATCAGCCACATGGCAGGGAGGGAAGCTTTGGAGAAGAATAAAAAAGTATGCCCCCAACCTGCAACTCTGTCCATGCTTGGCTTCAGATGGGCCCATCCAATGCAGGCATCTCCAGATGATGTGAGTTTATGATTGCGCTGGTTATGTCTTGTCCAGCATAGACAGCCCTTTTCAGCCTTCTCCTCCTCCTCCCTCTCCTCCTCCTCTCCCTCCTGCTCCTCCTCCTTCTTTTTCTTCTTTCCCTCTCTCTTGCTCTATTTATTTGTTTGTTTGTTTGTTTGTTTGTTTGTTTGTTTCTTCTCTTACATTCCTTTACTCTCTCTTCTGTAATGTTCCCTGAGCCTCAATGGGGATGATTTAAATGTCTTCTTTAAGTCTGTCACTTATTCTCAATACCTTGTGCAGCTATGAGTCCTTGCATTCACTGCTGTTCACTGGAAGATAAGGCAACTCTAGTTAAGGCTGAAAGAAACCAAACTTATTCCTGCCTGCATTATTTGCCCATCCAAAAAAAAAAAATGATTTCAATGAACCGATGCCAGAAACCCAAATAAAAATGTGCTGTAGTATGTAGTAAAACCTGTAATCTACTGACTGTTATTGGTTCATCATCAGAGACATGTTCACATTCTGCAATGTCAACATAAAATTGTATATCTCAGAGTATGGGACGTAACTTCGTGGCAAGGGTACTTGTCTACTGTGAACAAAGCCCTGTATTTGAGCCCTAACACCACATAAACTTGATGTGCTGAGACAGGTCTGCAATTGCAACACTCTAAAGGTGAAGGCGTGAGGACCAGAAGTTCAAGGCAATCTTCGGCAACAAGTGAATTTGACTGCAACCCAGGCTACATGAGACTATGTCTCAAAAGCAAAAAAAAAAGTACATATCTCAGTCAAGCACTGCTAAAGTCTTATTTAGAAAAATCAGGTCAATGAGAAATATTGAAACAAAGTCAATTTTGAGGCCAATGTGTACATTTTTATTGGCATATTTTTCTTGGATACTATAAATAGTATGCACATATGTAAGCATATATGTGAAATATCCCCTGTATCCCTGTGTCCTAGTTAGGGTTACTATTACTCTGATGAACCACCATGACCAAAGCAGCTTGGGGAGGACAGGGTTTATTTGGCTTACACTTCCTTATCACTGTTAATCATCAAAGGCACTAAGGTCAGGAAATCAAACAAGGCCATCAGCACAGGCATGGTCCTGCCCATAATGGGCTGGGCCCTCCCCCATCAATCACTAAATAAGAAAATGTCCTATAGTAGAATTTTATGGATGCATTTTCAATTAAGGTTTTCTCCTTTAAGATGACTCTAGCTTGTGTCAAGTTGACATAAAATTAGCAAGCACACATTCTCTGGCAAATGTTTCCAATCCAATATTCCATCTTACCCAACAGTTCCCCTTGCTACCCAGCCATCCCTAAGTGTGTGTGTGTGTGTGTGTGTGTGTGTGTGTGTGTGTGTGTGCGCGTGCACGCGCACGCATGTGTATGTGCACGTGTGTGTATTGCACAGACTTTATATTATATATAATATATGTGAGCCAAGGAACCAGGCCTGTATTCAACTCCCTTCCACAGATAAATGATAATTTCAATAGTAAAACTTCAGATATTACTTAGCATACATCCTAATAAACCAAAAAACCTTTTACTGGTATACTATTGTGCTATTTATAGAAAAATATAAAATAAGTCATTGTACTTTGAAGTAGATAATATTCGTCAGTAATGTCGTAAGGATATAAATAGGTAAGAAGGAATCATTCTATTCTCTAAGCACACGCCTTTTTTTTCATGGTTGCGTTCATTTGCTTTTAGACTGCATCTCTAAGGTACCAGAGAGGATAACATTCGACTAAAAAAGGAAACGTAATTAAGCTCAACGTTCAAATCTATTCCTTTTCCATCAGCACTTTATAAGACCAATAAGGTTGTTTAAACATGAGACCCTGTCTCAAAACAACAAAAAAAATAATGATTAAGAGTAAGCTGAGCCTTTCTGAAAAGGACTCTAGTATCACAGAAAATAATCCTAAGAAATGACATATAGGGTTACATGGAGTTATAAAACTTATGTACAACAAAGGAAATAATTGCCAGAGTCAAGAGGTTTCCTATAGGATGAGGGAAGTGCATTATCACCTACACACCTGAAGAAGCATTAATATACAGATGCTATAAAGAACATGCAAAGTTAAATCCCCCAAAGCAAATCATATGATTAATAACTAGGCTAATAATTTTAACACAGTTCTCAAAGAAAGAAATACAAATAACTAATAAATATTTGAAATACAAATAACCAATAAATATTTGAAAAAAAAGTTCAGCATCCTTAGCCAATAGAAAACCACAAATAAAACACTGAGATACCACTTCACCCTATCACCAAGGACAGCCAGAAATGATATAAACACAAGTCATGTTATGCAGACTGAATGGGTTGTATTTGTATTTTAAGAAGTGTGTGTGTGTGTGTGTGTGTGTGTGTGTGTGTGTGTGTGTGTGTGATTTAGGGAGAAACAGGTTTATTATTATGTCATAACTCCATGCAAAGGATTCAAAGGAGCTGCTAATAGGTAAGGAATTGGTCCTTATGTCCCAGGAAAGTCATTGGCAAGCATGATATAATTTTATCGAAAAGGGGGAGAAAAAAAGCCCAGGAGTGGTGGTTTTATGCATTTCAAGTACCATTAACAAATCATTCCCAGTTTTCCTTAGATTCAACTATTTATAAGTAAAGCAGGTGTGGTTGGGCACTAATATTGTAAAGATAAACAGGATCCTTCAAGGATTTTATAACCTAAAGAAAAACATTCATAAGGAAACAGCTTTAAACATTCATTATAGATGAAAATAGAGAGCCACACAGTGTTTGGAGAGTGATGAAAAGAGAACACCAGCTTTTGGATTCCTATTTTTGGTTCTCATGTGCAGATTTTCCTAAAACGTGCTGTTTCTGCAGGTGACATAAGGACAGCCTAAGTGACGAAGGAGAAACAGTCAGGACGGCAGATAGTCTGTGACTTCCAGGAAGGCATTTGCTTCTAACACAAATAGTACACCCTCTGCTTATCAGCAAATGAGTTGCTCTGTAGCTTAGACAGTGTTTGTTGCATCTCACCAGCCTGAGCTCAAAATAACACAATCCCCTCGGTTACATCCAGGGCCGAACCATAAAGCCACTGATGGAAAACTGCCTTGATGCTGTGCCGCTGTTCCTCCAGCCAGTCTTCTTTTTTTGTCTTAGTTGTTTGTTTTTCTGTCTGCTAACAAAGCTTTCCCTTTTAGCCCTGAAGAGGTCCTAAACTTAAGTGGAATCAGTCACAGGATTTTCTTGCCAGTGAGTATTGCCTTCAGCAAGGACACCCCTCCAAATGGATCTGCTTCTCTCGCCTCAGGAATTTCTCACTCTCCTACTCTTTGGCTGTCTTTCCTCATAGGGGGCCAGGGGGAGGTTAAT